AAGATGTGAAGGGTTTTCCCTGTCACGCCAACAGATCAGATTTGCTTCTCTAGAAAGCAGTAGGCTGAGACCCCATTGCCACTTCTCCATGACTGGGCCTTCCGTCCACATTTTTCCAACAAAGCATGTAAGAGCAGAGGAATGAGTGTGAAGCAGAGCCAAGTATTAACAGATAACAGTTTTTAAAAATAGGAGAAAATCCTAGAACCAACTCAGTATTCAGTGAATTCACTTTTAGTTCAAAGAAAATAAAACATCAGAAACTGAAGCCTGGTAATGTTGGTGAAGGACATTCTGATGCACGCATGCTCTCCCACCAACCTTTAAATAAAGTTTACATTTCACTAAATTTGAGTTCAGTCTCTCTGCTATGAGAAGAAATAAGAATAAAATACATATGCTAAAAGTGATGGCTTGAAGATCTATTGTGGCATACTTCTGAAGAGGTTATTTCCTTATAAAATGCTTTTCCTTTGTCTTAAGCAAAACTAGGCTAAATTCCTGACTTAGGCTATAAAATAGTAGTCCGAGAACTTTTACTTCTCTGAAAGTGGTTTGAATCTTCCAGACATCACTTTCAGCATATTATATTCTTATTTATTACAGTATCAGATATTTATTGCTGTGTAAAAACTGCCCTTAACTTTAATGGTTTCGAATAACAGCAGTCTACTTGGAGTATGACCCAGTCACATAGCTGGCAAGTTGGTGCTGGCTGTCTACTAAAAGCTCAGACAGGGCCGTTGTTGTGGCTGAGGCCGTGGTTCTCCACGTGGGCACCTCTTGGGCTGTTGGGCTTCCTTATCATATGGCAGCTGGGATTCAAGAGCAAGTATCCCAACAGGAAATGGAAGTCTCTGGTTACTTGAGGCCTGGCCTAGAAAGTGGTATGCCATCACTTCCACCATATCCTAATAGTCAAGTACTCAACACAAGTAGCTGTCAGCAGAAGAGACATAAAGCCCACCTCTCAAGGGAAAGAGGATACTGTCAATTTGCCTCTGTGCCCCAAGACCACCACCATCATCTACACACCATACTTGTGGACAGCACCTCTCTTCTCTGCTGAAATGCCTTCTCTCAATACAGTTTCTGCTGTGGGAGATGTTGCCCACTGCCTATTAAAGAAATGAGCATTGAAAGAAACCAGTTCTCTGGTGAGGAAACTTCTTCCTCAGCAATGGAGTAGGGGCAAAATAGTCCCTGGCTGGTGCCATCTCCTTAAAGTTTAGAACACATCATCTGCTGTGGTTGCAGCCACTCAGCATGTGCTATCTCACTACCTCTCCCAGGGGTCATATGAGATAGCTATCATTGTTATCCTGGCATTTTCAGGGGGAAACCAAGGCAGTTTTCCCAAGGTGTTTCAGGTGGCAGGGGATGGGATGATGACTCCAATCCAGTGTGTTCCACTGCTGACCCACCCCTCAGCCATGACAGCCACTTCAGAGCATGGCTGGTGACAATGAGAATGGAATGTGCTTTCTGGAGGGGTCCATGGATTGCAGACAGACAGCCCTGAACAAGCCTAGCTGGCATTCACTCTTCCAGCTTTCTTCTTTGTAAGATGGTGGGTAGAGATCCTGCCATCTTGGGAGAGATCCAAGATGGCTGACCACTAGCAGCTCAGGCTTGTAGCTCCCAGTGAAAGTGCAGAGAATGAGAGGACGCCACACTTTCAGACGAATTTTTGTTGCTCAAGGACCAGGAAATTCCCAGTGGAGGAGCCCCACGGGTCACCAGTGCAACTCTTGCAGCCGGCGCTGCAGTTTTGCCGGTGCCCTGGCGCAGCGGTTCTTGGTGCAGAGTAAATGGGACTGGTTCCCCTTTTGGCGGACATTTGGAGTTGATTGAAGAAGGGATTCAGGAGGGAAGCCAGACAGGAGACTCCTGGACAGAAAAGCACCAAGAATCTTGATGCCGCTGTTTTAGCCAGTGCAGTGGGTTGCTCAGATTTCGGCCCTGGGAATTAACAAGTTGGACGTCCCCTCAGAGACCTAATTTGAAAGTTGGTAATTACAAAGATGACAGGTGGATAAATTTACAACGATGGGAAGAAATCAGCGTAAAAAGGCTGAGAATGCTCAAAATCAGAATGCCTCTCCCTCTACAGAGGATCACAGTTCCTCATCAACAGGGGAACAAGGCCTGATGGAGAACGAGTGCATCCCATTAACAGAATCAGGCTTTAGAAGGTGGATAATAAGAAACTTCTGTGAGTTAAAAGAACATGTTCTAGCCCAATGTAAAGAAGCTAAGAACTTTGAAAAAAGATTTGACAAAATCCTAACGAGAATAGACAATTTAGAGAGGAATATAAGTGAATTAATGGAACTGAAGAATACTATACGAGAACTCCGAGAAGTATGCACAGGGTTTAACACTCGAATTGATCAAGCAGAGGAAAGGATATCAGAGGTCGAAGACCAACTTAATGAAATGAAACGAGAAGACAAGATTAGAGAAGAAAAAGTAAAAAGGAATGAGCAAAGTCTCCAAGAAATATGGGACTATGTGAAAAGACCTAATTTATGTTTGATAGGTGTACCTGAATGCGACAGAAAGAATGAATCCAAGCTGGAAAATATTCTTCAGGATATTATTCAGGAAAATTTTCCTAAACTAGCAAAGCAGGACACTATTCAACCCCAAGTAATACAAAGAACACCACAAAGATATTCCTCAAGAAGAGCAACCCCAAGGCACATAATCGTTAGATTCACCAGGGTTGAAATAAAGGAGAAAATTCTAAGGGCAGCTAGAGAGAAAGGTCAGGTTACCCATAAAGGGAAGCCTATCAGACTTACAGCAGATCTCTCAGCAGAAACCCTACAAGCCAGAAGAGAGTGGGGGTTAATATTCAATATCCTCAAAGCAAAGAATTTTCGACCTAGAATCTCATATCCAGCCAAACTAAGCTTTATAAATGAAGGAAAAATAAAATTTTTCATGAACAAGCAAGCACTCAGAGATTTCATCACCACCAGGCCTGCTTTACAAGAGCTTCTGAAAGAAGCACTACACACAGAAAGGAACAACCAGTATCAGTCATCTCAAAAACTTACCAAAAGTTAAAGAGTATCTCCACAATGAAGTATTTATATCAACTAATGGGCAAAATAGCCAGCATTAAATGACAATATTAAACTCAGAAATCTCAATATTAATCCTGAATTTAAATGGATTAAATGTCCCAATCAAAGACACAGACACGCAAACTGAATAAAAAGTCAAAACCCATCAGCACTCTGTATCCAGATCCATCTCATAAGCAAGGACACACAAAGACTCAAAACAAAAGGTTGGAGGAAGACTCACCAATCAAATGGAGAGGAAAGAAAAACAAAAAAAAAACACAGGAGTTGTAACTTTCGTCTCTGACAAAATAGACTACAATAGTAACCAAGACTAAAAGAAACAAAGAAGGCCATTACATAACGATAAAAAGATAATGCAACAATAGGAGTCAATGATCATAAATATATATGTACCCAATATAGGAGCACCCAGATATATAAGACAAGTTTTCAATGACTTATAAAGAGACTTGGACTCCCACACTAATAGCGGGAGACTTTGACACCACATTGTTAATATTCGATGGATCAACAAGATAGAAAATTAACAGAGACATTTATGATTTGAACTCAGACCTGGAACAAGTAAACTCAGTGAATATTTATAGAATTCTTCACCCCAGGTCCACAGAACATACATTTTTTTTAGTATCACATTACACCTATTTTGAAATTTGGCTGTTTGTTTGTTATTTTCTTTCCTTATTCCTTCCTGTCTCCGCTGTTAATCACAATCATCAGCATAAAAGAGGTTTTTAATACCTATTTCTAGATTGCATTCCACCCTGGGCAATAGAGCAAGACTCTTGTTCTCTCTCCCTCTTTTCTCCTTCTCTTTCTTTCAAAAAAAAAAAAGATGGTGGGAAGAGGGCATTTCTCCCTTGGGCATCTTCAGTCCCATGGTGAATGCTGGTCATCATCTCTCAGTCCATGTCTCTGTCCTAATTGCCTCTTGTTGTAAGGACACCAGTCAGATTGAATAAAGCCTCACCTAACAACCTCAGCTTCCCTGATCACTTTAAAGTCCCTATCTCCAAATACAGTCACTTTCTGAGGTCCCGCTTCAACCTATCAATTATGAGAGGGCACAATTCAGCCCATAGCCACCCATTTCTTTTTCTGTAATACGCTTTCAATATTAAAGTAAGTCCACTGACATGGGCATATAAATCTTCTATGTATGCAAACAAACATTGAATGTGAACATCTTGAATTAAGTTTGTTTCCTTATATTCTAATACCAATTAAGCTTTGCTGTGGGTATTTATTTGCGTTTCTGTGTGTATTAGTCTGTTCTCACACTGCTATAAGGACATACCTGAGACTGGGTGATTTATAAAGGCAAGAGGTTTAATTGACTCATAGTTCTGTAGGGCTGAGGAGGCCTCAGGAAACTCGCAATCATGATAGAAGGGGAAACAAACACATCCTTCTTCACATGGTAGCAGGAAGAAGAATGAGAGCTGAGCAAAGTGGGGAGCCCATTATACAACCATCAGATCTCTTGAGAACTCACTCACTATCACAAGAATAACGAGAGGGAAACCATCCCCATGATTCCGTTACCTCCCACTGGGTCTTTCCCATAATGGGGATTGTGGGAACTAGAATTCAAGATGAGATTTGGGTGGGGATGCAGCCAAACCATATCACTGTGTCCTCTACCAGAGTGGAAACATCTTGAAGGAAGGACTGTGACTCGTCATCTCTGTAGCCCTGCTGTGGTGCTTGGAACACTCTTCAGTGAAGAGTGAACAATCACATCAAAATATCACTTGATTTCTTTTTGCAAAAATAGCAGTTTGATGTAGAAACCTTTGCACAAGCCAGAGGAATGAATATAATGTGTTTGGAAAAAGGAAAATGTGTTATGTCCAAATGCAACGTCATGTCCCTAATTAACGGATATGTGTTCTTTCGCAGTTTGCCTTCTGCCGGGAGTGTAAAGAAGCATATCATGAAGGGGAGTGCAGTGCCCTATCTGAAGCCTCAGGAACAATTCCTCAGGTACAGAATGCCCTACTCATTTCCTCCAAGCAGGACTACTGGCACGGTGGGGGACTGGGGGACTGGAGCTGTTTCCTGGAGGTCACGGAGAGTTCCATTCTGAAAAAGCAAGAAGCAGACTGGTAGCTGACTGGTAGCCATGTGAATGGGGACCCTGGCTTCTCCCAGAATGACTCCCCTCCTCGGGGCACAGCGTAGACTTCCCCGTGGCCATTTGGGACGTGTCCAAGATAGCTTTTCCCTGGGCAGACATGGAACAGGCACGAGGCATGTGAGCATTTTCAAGGGAGTCCTTAGAGGGGAAATAAAACAATTTAACAGTCTCTAAATCAGAGAAATCAATACTAACTCCACTTCAATTGTTTTAATGCCCTAATTTAGACTCTGGTGAAAATGCCTCCACGAGTGTCTTGTCCAGAAGTATTACATGATGTAAGGATATCACTGTCTTTCAGCAGCGTCATACCCTGTGCCAACTGGCGTTTCAGTCCTCATTAGGTAAAGAATGTGCTGACAGAGCCTCACTCTGTAAGGCGCTGTCTCAGTCTTAGGAAAATGCACACTCATTTTCTTTTATTTATGAATTATGATCAACCAAGCCTTCAGGGAAAAAGAGTTAAAAGCGTCATCACGGTGGATGAATTTTCTCGTTATTTTTCTCTCATTGTAGATGTTAACAAGCGTTTAAGCACCAAATCTTTGCAAACAAATGCTTTAGTCATTTTTCTGATAGGAACCTAATAAACAGACACAGAAATTCCAAAACATTTTAATTTTACAGCAGAGAATGTTAAAGATCTCGATGCTCTAAAATCAGAGCATGAATAAGTGTATCCCAATACGGCATTCTGCAGATGAGTTTATCCAATATTAGCTAAATAAATAGCACTGGTGAATTTGGGTCTTCTCATCTGCTCCTACATTGCCGGCCATGAGGATATGAGCGGATTTGGGACTGAGTCCCCATTTCCATAGCCCAGGCAGCAAATGCTCTTTCTGTTGATTTTATTTTAGCTCAGGGACATTCAAACGCGAGCTCACCAGGTACTGACAGCGGAAGCAGTAATGGCCCAGAGACCCCTGCCTCAGGATCGCTGTAACGGAGGCAGGTACGCCTGAGGCTCTGGGAAATGGAGTTAGTCTAGCAATTTACATCCATATGCTCTGAGACTGCAAACATGGACAGAGGCTTCCATGAAGTGATACTCTGGCATCTACGGTATTTATTTGGAAACAGTAGCTGTAAGGGGAAGAGCATTGCGTAACCTAAAGCCATCCAGGCACCTGACCCTCCCTTTAGTCCCATTCATTCTTCAATCAAGAGGAACCACCCAACCTTGGTGTTAAAGATTGAAGTAGACTAAATTAAATGTTTCTCAATTATTAAAACCTTAATACTGGATTCAGAAAACTAGGAAAAAGAAAGTTAGAGATGACCTAAAGCATAGATGTCCAATATCAAGGGAACTGTGTCTGCAAACAATGTCAATTAGCAGACACTAAATGCAGCGTTTGGGTGGCTCAAGCAGCTGCCAGACTCTCTCGAAAAATGCATTGAAACATATATTTCCCTTCAGAGGCTCACAGGGGAGCCATGGGGGGACACTTACTGGAAAATGAATATCCTAATTATGGTAATATGCTAAGCCAAAGTTTAGCAACTCTATAGCACTATATAAAACGCTTCCAGGCTTCCCTGGAAAAGTCATGGAAGGTGGGTCAGAGTTTGTCAGGACAGCCGGACGGGGTGGTAAAGGACATTCCAGCAGAGGGCGCCACACGGACAAAGTTGCAGAGGCCAGAATCTCTGCAACCAGACCGTGTCCCTCTGCGTCCCTGTGTTTCCAGGCCCAAGACGACATCTGCTGCATAGACATTTAATACATGGTTTGTTGAGTGATGGTAGCATCTATAAAGAAACTTCATTTTTTTAAACAGGATCTCACTATGTTGCCCCGGCTGGAGTGCAGTGGTGTGATCTTGGCTCACTGCAAACCCTTTATCCTTGGCTCAAGCAACTCTCTCACCTCAGCCTCCTAAGTAGCTGGAACTGCAGGCACCAGCCACCCACACCAGGCTGCTTTTTGTATTTTTTGTAGAGACAGGGTTTCAGCATGTTGCCCAGGCTGGTCTTGAACTCCTGAGCTCAAGCAAGCCTCCCAAAGTGCCAGGATGACAGGTATGAGCCACTGCTCCTGGTGAGACATTATTTCATTCATTCAACAAATCCGTGGTTCTAGGCCCTCAGGACAAAGAGCAAGACAACGTCCCTGCTCCCCTGGAGCTTCTCTTCATTCAATGCCGCAGAGGCTTCACAAGCAACTGGTATGATAGGAATTCTGAGGAGGTATAGTTACTCCACGCCAGGGTCATCCCAGAAAGAACTCAGGACGAAGAGGCCCAGCAGCTGGACCCGCAGGATACGAGGTCCTTCCTGCTTCTAGCTCCCAGTCACAGGCCCAGCCTCCAATCCTCTTATTTGAAAACAAAGCAAACCAACCAGACAAACTAAAAAGATGTCTGCTGGCCGGGCATGGTGACTCACGCCTGTAATCCCAGAACTTTGGGAGGCTGAGGCAGGTGGATCATGAGATCAGGAGTTCGAGACCAGCTGGCCAACATGGTGAAATCCTGTCTCTACTAAAAATACAAAAAATTAGCTGGGCATGGTGGCGCGTGCCTGTAATCCCAGCTACTCAGGAGGCTGAGGCAGGAGAATTGCCTGAGCCCGGGAGGCGGAGGTTGCGGTGAGCCGAGATCGCGCCATTGCACTCCAGCCTGGGTAACAAGAGCGAAACTCCGTCTCAAAAAAAAAAACAAACAAAAACAAAACAAAACAAAACAAAAAATACAAAATTAGCTGGGCGTGGTGGCACGCACTGTAGTCCCAGCTACTCAGGAGGCTGAGGCAGGAAAATTGCTTGAACCCGGGAGGTGAAGGTTGCAGTGAGCTGAGATCGCACCACTGCACTCCAGCCTGGGCAACAGAGTGAGGCTCCATCTCAAAAAAATATACAACAAAACAAACAAAGATGTCTGCTGGTTAGCGGTGGCCAGAGAACAGAAAGCAACTAACGGGGACTTTGCTGCCAGGTTTCTACATCTCTGATTTGATCAGGGTCCCTCAAGTGAGAGAAGCTGACCCAGATGGGCACAGGAGGAGATGTTAATGGAAGGGATGACCTGCAGAGGTGGGCGGGGGCACAGGGGGAGAGCCTCAGAGCAAGCATCAGTGGGGAGTCATGGCCACCCCAGGCCTGCAGAGGGAGGGGGAGGAAATGAGTTCCTTGAAGCCCATGAGCTGTAGCCGTGAAGGGGCCTTGTGACAGGAGGTGTCATCATGGGGTGTCCAGCATTGCCCAGATATATTCCCACCATGGGAAGGGAGTGAGCAGGGACATGCTGCCTCCTGCCTCCTGCCTCCTACCATCCGATCTCTTGCTAATATTTCCCATGGGTCACACCCCACCAAAGCCACCCACAAGGGATCCTAGGGGCACAGTCCCTGAGAGTTAGCCTTCCAGATGCAAAGCAGAGAGGGGAAAAATACAGAAGAACCAGCACCTTCTCTGTGAGCAAATTTACCAACCTTCCTAAGTTTCCTTATTTCAACCGTAGCTGCTCTTGGACATGGGAAGGCACAAACCAAACAAGCTATTTCCTCAAATTTCACGACCCAATTCAATTCTATCATAGAATGAAGGGTTTTTATTTTAATACAGAGGGCTTACTTTCTGTTCCCTACATTTCTCTCAGACAGCATGGTCTCCAGGAGGATGACCTCTGCTGTTTCACTGACCTGAAATCTGAAAAGATGACACTCTCCACATCTCACAATGAAAACCTAATTGCAGCCCCCCTGGGAACTGAAGGCTTTAGATGTGTTCTCCTGTCTGAATTTTGCTAATACTAACTAACCGCCCTCATCAGCCCTCTTCACACTTTCCTTCCAGTTCCACTCAGTTGCAGGGATCTTGGCTTTGAGCCATTTGTGACTCATTCCGCTGTTCTTCCCGTTAGCGTTGATGGTTTCCGTTCTTCAGGTCACATTCTCCAGCCAGGCAAGCCCATTGCTCTTGGGTCCCAATCAGCTTTTCCTATCAGTTAGACTGTTTGACCTATAACTTAACGCATTTTTTGATTAATGCGATATTTTTTTAAAAAAAGCAATCTCAAAAATTGCCTTTAAATTGGTTTTAGGATATTGAACACGGTTTAAGTTGAAACAGCTGGGAGTTTGGGAAAGCACTGACAGAAGATCAATCCATCACTGACTAATGAGAGTCCAATCCCATTTGCTTTCCCTTGGTTTTCCCTGCCTGTTCTCCTCCTCGTGTTCCAGTTCCTTCCGCGTAGTCCCCCTGGGGACTTTCTAATAACTAAACACTTGCTCTTGCAAACCACATAAATTGATTCATTCTCCCAGTGGTTCTAAGTAGTTATGTTGCTCTCCCTACTCAACAGGAGGGCAGACTGAGACTTCCAGACTTTTAGTGCTGCTATCCGAAGCCACCGAGGAGATCCATGTCAGTGATCTAAGTAGTTGGGAACAGCAGCTGCTCTCTCCAATATATGTACCGTGTTGAGGGGAATGTGCCCACGCCTGCCTTCCAGCCATGCCTCCTGCTCTACCTTTTAGGCCCAGATCATATGTTACCTCCTCTAGAAGCCCTCCGCCCTCCCCACTACTCTACATCCTGTAAGCTATCAGACAACATTCATCCCATTGAAGTATCATTTCTCTGTCTCTTCACAAAAAGTCTGGGCTTTGTTAGCGCAGGGTGTGTGCCTGTTGCACCCTGTATCCTTCAGTGCCTGGCGCAGAGTAGGTACTCATTACATGTTTGTTGAATGAATGACAAATCCCTCTTTCATCCACACACCTCCCTCCCTACCATGAAGCTGGGCAAGTATTGGACAAGAAAGGACAGTAGCTTCAGGGCTGGATTTTGCCTCGGGAAGCTTTTTAATCATGAGAGAAAATTACATTTCCACAGTGA